TTTATGGATAAGCTCTCAACACACTGAAAGGGAGCTGTATACTTTTCAATAATCCAAACATCTTTAGAATATGATCAAAACCAATAACAAATCATTTAAACTTGTTTATTCTTATCTTACCTAGTTAGCATTCTCCATATTTTACTAATCACTCCCCTTTTAAACTTTTTTTTTTACTGTCCTATAGCACACATTGGAATGATTTCTTACTTTATTTTTTACACCTAGGCTATATTAAATAGATAAATGTGTGCTCTCTCTAACTCTCTCGCTCTCTCTCTCTCGCTCGCTCACAGAGGCTGTGTGCTCCTCCGTGGGCCAAACATAGGCCTATTTGTAAAGTGGGGGGACACAAACGGGATTTCGAAAAGTGTCACGGTTAAACTCCTTGTGAAGTGGTGAGGTGCCGCTACACATTGCTTTTCTTCTCGACTGCAACGCTGTAAATGATTTTGGTTTCAGTTGTGTGTGTGTGAGCAGGCTCGGAATGGCCATCGGGAGATTCAGGACTTTTCACAGTGGGCCGCTGCCTTTGGTGGGCAGCTGGCTCTGACATAGGTGGGCGTGGACTTTCACAGCGCCGCTGCGCCGGTACCGCACCCGCCGCCGCAAACACCCGCGTTGCGAGGCTCCGGCGGATCCGGCGCTGTGAAAGTCCACCGCCGTTGCGAGTCTCCGGCTGTAACAGTCCACTAACACCCGCGAGGACCCAGGTTCGATTCCGGCCTGAGGTCCAAAAAAATAAAAATAATAATAATAATAATAATTCGCGACCCACCTATCACATCTCTGCGCCCCACCAGTGTGGCGCGCCCCACACTTTGAGAAACGCTGCCTTAGACCCTCACATCGTACAATGAAAAACCTCCGGAGAAAAACCCACAGTTTAAAGGGGGAAATGGGAGAAACCTCAGGGAGAGCAACAGAGGAGGGATCCCTCTCCCAGGACGGACAGACGTGCAATAGATGCCGTGTGTAAATTGAAGAGATAATACATTTTACAGCGTAGGTAGACCAAATGTTTGGAAATGCATGTGTCTATAATAAGAATATCACGCATTTTAAAAAGTTTTTCGCCTGCCGTCTGTCTGCAGACTTGTCAAAGCATTAATTCATGGTTTTTACTAACCGGTATCAGTATGTTGTTACTTCGGCATCATTTTGAAACGTGTATTACAATTAAATCACGGTCAAATATGTTCATCTTGTTGTAGTTGTGGCCCCCTTGACAGTGATTCTCTCTCTAGTTTAGCAAACTCAGCCCGACTCAGCCCTGTTTGTTGGCCTCGATAGAACCACGATTTAGTCCGGCCAGAAAAAAGGTGAAAAAGTAGCCCCGGGCCAAAACTAGGCCAAGTGGAAGCGCAACCAAAAACGGGCCCCGCACGGCTCGGCACGCTTAAAGCGAGCTACCCGCTGCAGTGGAAACGCGCCATTAATGAGTTGTATTTCATTTTTCCATTTCACTAATGAATTGTATTATTCCTGATGGTTTACCAATATTGTTCAGCTGCCGATCATGCCAATAAAGCTTACTGAAATTGAATAGAGGGAAAGAAAGTGAGAGACACACTAAAAGAGCAACACTTGAGTACCTTGAGTGGCAGGATTAGGTCAAACCCATTTGTCACCGTCTCTGTGTCTCAATCACAAAGATGCAGCACCATCTACCCCACACACACACACGCGCACGCACGCACGCACGCACACAATAGCTGTGGACGCAGTCCAGAGGTCACTTTGCCAGGGCTGTGTGGGAGCTGAGTAATGGCGAGCTATGGTTGACATGGTAACCACATGAATTTCCAGCAGTGAATCGTTGCAGAAATCACCTTGACAACAGAAAACACACATAATCTTCCCAAGTCACCCGTACATGAAAACAACTAACATAACATATCTACACTACGTTAGAGTTATTAAGTTCATTATCATACTAAGTGATATGTTTAGTAACATTTACAAAAAGCGAATTTGTGAAGCAGGAAATACATGCCTTTATGTGACATTTCACATGAAAGAACAATTACATGATAGATATTTAATTGACTATCTGTTTAATCTAAAGTGGATTCATCATAGAGGTCTTTACCTTTCTTGCGGACAACCTCCTCAGACTCAGGCTTGCGTGTGACGGACACCACCTTCATCAGCAGCCGGTTGCCCCCCTGCCGGATCAGGGACACCACCTGCTTATGGCCCACTTTCACTACATTCACCCCGTTCACCTAGGAGGAAACGCACAAAGACAAGACATGCAAACACAAGTTTAACCTTTAAAGCATTAAAGTTTACTTTCACATGATAAAACTTTTCTGCAAATCACGCCTAGTCATTTTTAACAGACATAAATAGAAGCTTTCAGAGGTTGAATAAGTACTCAAAAGAAGCAGTATACTGCAGTATTCAAAATTGTACTTAATTAAAAGTGAAAAAGTATAAGCATAACAAAAATACTTCAAGTACCAAAAGTACAAATATGCATTATGTATTTCAAGCACAATATAGTTTTAATTTGTTTTAAATTAATGTTATAAAAATGATTGGTGCATTAATGTGTCACTTCACTGTTAAACTTGGTAAAGGTGGGGTTTATTTGAATTACTTTATACATTACTTGGTGGCTTAACCTATAATAAAATATAATATTGTGTCGCTTTATATTTTGCATTAATAACCTAAATCTACAAAATAACTAGTAACCAAAAATGTAAAACAAATGTGATGCAATAAAAAGTACAACATTTGCCTTCAAAATTTAGTGATGTAAAAGTATAAAGTAGCATAATGTAAAGTACCTCCATGTTCAACTTAAGCACATTACTTGAGTAAATGTACTTTATTTTATTACGCCATGGAAGATTTATACATGATTAATATTTAACTTTGGAACATATCCACAAATTCACAAAAAAACTGTCCAGAATCAATTTGCTTTTCTCCTCTGCTGCAGGTCATCAGTAGTGTGCTCAGTGATGAGGAAGACACAGATGTAGAAAAGGGAAGAGCTTTTCCGAATTACCTCGATGAGGAAGTCTCCTGTCCTCAGACTAGCCCTCCAGGCCACTCCCTCCACATCCACAGACTCCAGGTACTGAAGGGCGGGGAACGCTGGGGTGGGGGTGAACTCCTCGATGGGCGTTTCAGCTGAGAAAAACCAACCCAGAAAGGTTCAGTGAAATCTGGAGCTTCCTCTGATTTGATTTTTCTTTTATGTAAATGAGACTGCTAATGACCACAACCACCTCACAAACAGAACGTATTACATGCTGTGTGTAATATTCGGAATAGGTTGGCTGCCGTATAACATTTGCCCTGTTTGAATTCCCTTGGAGGAAATTACACAGTTTTCAAAGCTTCCCTTTTAGCTTTACTAAAATGATTTAATTAATATATATTTCACTGCTTTCAGTTCTATCACTTGACTAAAGATTTCTATATTAGGCAGGACTACTGAGCGGATATACTGCTGTTTCCTGCTTCACCTCAACAATAATGCTGATGCATATTTGCATACAATCACACAGTCATACACCTGCACAACTGCATGCATGCCTTAACAAAATACACACACACACACACACACACACACACACACACACACACACACACACACACACACACACACACACACACACACACACACACACACACACTTTGTTAAGTGAGTGCGGCATCATGAACTCCATTTAATCTTGGAACTAATCCAACTAAATCACTGACACATGAGAGTTCTCAGAGGGCCGCTAAGTGAACTGCAGTGTGTGCGTGTGTGTGTTTGTGTGTGTGTGTGTGTGTGTGTGTGTGTGTGTGTGTGTGTGTGTGTGTGTGTGTGTTTAAGGGTAGTGGGGAGTAAAAGGCAGAGCGAGTAAAAGAAAGCGGGGTGAGCCAAGATCCATGGTAGTGAGTGATGGAGCAGTAAAGCACACTCAGACTCCAGGCAAGGTGCCTGAGAGGGGTTGCTATGGTAACCAGCGTGAGCAGGGAGCTGGCACGGGCATGAGTAAAATGAATTTGTGGTGATGGAGATGAGTAGAGAGGTGATCTGGGTTTTTGAATGCGGAAGGTATAAAAGGGTTTGCGTGGAATCATTTTTGATAGGGTAATGGCTGGGAAGGATATGAAGGAGAGCAGAGAGGAACAAAAACAAGGACAGACAGAGTGAAGATGAGAGGAACAGGGGAGGAGGGTGTCTCTACTAAAGCTGAACGCCATGTGCGGGGAACAGATGGGACAGCTAGCCGACAGCTCAGCCAAGGATGACGCCACTAAAGGGGCTACACACACACACACACACACACACACACACACACACACACACACACACACACACACACACACACACACACACACACACACACACACACACAAATACACACACTCGCAGGGTGCATCTGAGTATACACGCCGAGTGTTGACCGAAGCTGGTCGTGTTGTTGACTCACACTGTAACACTACAGACTGAGCCATACTCAGTGACTCAGATCAACAAACTATTTCTCACTTCTAAACACTCACACATTAAAAACTGCTAGGTAGTCAATGTGCATGTCTTTGCAAAGGTGTGTGTGTGTGAGTTTAAGAGTGTGTGTGTGTGTGTGTGTGTGTGTGTGTGTGTGTGTGTGTGTGTGTGTGTGTGTGTGTGTGTGTGTGTGTGTGTATCTCACCTTTGGCTCCCCGCAGGACGAAGCCAAACCCCTCGTTTTCTTTCTTCTGCAAAACAGCATTTTTCTCTTCTATGATATAGTCACTGTACAGGAGAGAGCAGAGGGAGAGCAGGTATGAATCCAACACCATCCTCACACTCAAAGAGGAGAGGGGAGAGAGGAGAGGACGGAGGGTCGTCGGGGGGGTCGACCAATGGGAGGAGATGGAGGCGCACACACTCACACATAAACACACACCTGTACTTCCTTTCCCAGACATGTCTTTCTACTTTGGATTCAGGATATACCAATCAGGTTAAAAGCAAAGTGAGCGACCACAGCTCAGGATTCCACACAGAGATAGAGAGACAGAGACAGAGAGAGTGAGAGTGAGAGTGAGAGTGAGAGTGAGAGAGAGAGAGAGAGAGAGAGAGAGAGAGAGAGAGAGAGAGAGAGAGAGTACTCATGATTGAAGTATCTTTGGGATAAAACCTAAGACTGAATCAATCTTCTTGCTGATCCCTCAGATGAGACTGCAGCTGAGGGGGGTGTGGAGGGCTTCTGCTAAAGAAAGTGAAGGAGATGGCTGGGATGCAATATTATCCTCTGACTAATGACAGAGGGAATAGGAGGCCAAAGTAAGTGAGCACTTCATCACTGCATGATTTTTTCCTCAGAGTTGAAGGCTGGAGGCTGCTAGATGGTGTTAACCTGGGCTGCTCTAGAAATGCATGTGTCGAAAGCCTGTAAGCTAAAACCAAAGCAGAGTTAGTGAGGAAGCCAAGCAAATATCAGCATGATGGCTAGATGTGTGTGAGAGAAATATTCAGAATGTTCGTCGGCCTAATCGAAACAACTGAAAGGAAACGCTCAGGCAAGGTGTACTGGTTTTAATCTAAATTGTTTGATGGTGAAAGATGCAGATGAAGAAATGTGAACATGTCTAATTCAGAACAGTAAAATGACACTTAAGTGTAAAATAAAAATAAAAATGTGCTGAAATTTTGTGTCCTTAGATTAAATGTACTAAAACAACAGAAAATGTGCACCACTGCTTGTATCATTTAACACCACACCACACTGAGGGGTCTGCTGCCAGGTTACAGACTTAACAAAAGCCCGACAATTTGTAATATTTGTTACATTTTAGCATTATAAATCAGTCATCCTGTCTCACAGCTGAGGCAGATGTACTGGGCTTTTGTTAAGGTTGCAACTCAGTAGGAGGCGGCAGTCTCCATTAGCTTATTTACACTCCACTCTCTCAGACTTACCAAAGGAACACAGAGCTCCTGCTGCTGGAGCCAGGAGACCCGAAACAAACCTTTCTGCAGGAGGGAGGTCAAAGGTTTTCTTTCATAAAAAGCTATCTATCCACTTTTGCACCAAATATTATGCACAGAAAACTGTGTTGGTTAAGCATCACTAAGATGCTTTGTTTCAGTCCAACACCTTTTATCCACTACGCTTACATCTCTGCCCTATGCCCCAAAATACTGCATTAATGCAATACACCCTCCTTCAGATTCTTTTCCACCCACGTAACTCAATAAAAACTCTCATGGAAAACACAATTTTAGATGGTATACGTCTCCTCAAAATAAACCTGTCCTTTGACATTAGAGATACTAATATTCCGCAGACCATCAAGGAAATTGTACCACGTAACAAAATAACTTTCTGTCCTACCTTTTCGCTGCGACCAGTATTTATTCAGATATTCATATGTTGCAACTGCTCCTTAAAGTCTCTCTTAACTGTGATTTTGTGCAGTGCTTGTCTTTACTGTCTCACCTTTGGAAAGCATCACAACCTGTACATGATTTTATTGTCCTCCAGTACTCATCTAACATCTGTACTGTACAAAAAACTAATATAAATAGTGTCTGTATATACAATGTCCCATATACTGTAGACTAACACAGGATAGTATGACTGTGGTAATGCTCATTCAACAAACCTGCAGCTCTGCTAACAGAGATGGCATTTAATCCAACTAAAACCTAGAATGCAAGAACTTGACATTTAATACAAAGGCTGAGAAAGTGGGTGGAAACAATGCTCACTCAGACTAGCGCGTGTCTCAAACTGACACAATGTGGCATTCAAGTCAGAATTTGCATCAAAACCGCACACAGCCAGCTAATCCACTCTCAGATCATTTGTCTTATTTACAAGAGAGAAAGCACTCTACACAATAAAGGTCAGGGGGAAAGCTTAAAGAAAATAAAGACTTACAATATCAGGCACAGAAACATGCACGCATCCATGCGTGTAGAATATACTGTGTACACATACAGACACAACTAATTTCTTATCACTTCGAAGTGAGTGCACCAGCAGCCTTTTACCTTTAGATGGCAGCACCTCCATAACGCTCTAACACCTTCCCACATGCACTGCATCACCGATGTACAGGTAATGAGGCAGTATGAGATATGACTAATGTAGTTTTTGCAGTACAATATACACTAGTATCATGGCCTGCACTTTGCATTAGCGTGCTAGCTCAATGAAAGAGGCTGTACCTGTATGAGGTGAAGTTGTCGTAGGATCCCACAGTGTAGTGTCTGAACAGTCTCTTAGTGCGGTCCTCCCGAGTCTCTGCAAAACACATGAAATGCATTTGAATTTGTAGCATTTTGTCACAGATTGCATGCACTTCTTGAATATCATTAAGGAAGGACACAAGGGATTATAAGAAGCTCTTTGTATGTAAGGATACATTGTAACTGTAAAATGTAATTCTGTTAGCCAAGAAAGGGGTTAAGCTTCCACAGAGAAAGAATTATCATGACCATGCTTCATTTATCATAACCTACCACAGTCAAATTGTTCCATGGTAATTTTTTGTTTTTCAAACCGTAAAATAATTCCATAATTCTTAGTTTAACGCGTTTCTTCTGAAGCTGGAAGATGCTCTAGAATGGGAACAATGTTAAGCTCAATTAATATTGTGAGTAAGTGTGTGTGTTTGTGTGAGTGTGTGTGTCTGTTTCTTGTCAGCATGTGGGTAGATTTATCCTATGGGAGGGCTGATAGAGATCGATGTCCTCTCCCCATTCCAATAATACACACTGCAACTCCACTAAACAGCAATCTGCTGACTACACAACCCGACAACCTTTCACGCCACACAGAAAATCTGGGCAAAGCTGTGAGAGCGAGGGGTGTCCTCGTGGAGATGTGAGACAAAAGGCACGAAGCCACGAGTCTGGCTAGTAATCTTGGTCACATGTCCTCCCACTGCTCCTGTCTCCTGTCACTTACCATGTGCTATCAAATAAAGGCACTACTTCAAGCTGTTCAGATATCCAGTATACGTGTGTATGAGAAAGATTTCGACATGTAAAGAGCAATAAGGGAAAGAGATCAAAGTTACTGAGCTGACTTGAAGAGGCTGGTATCCTCAGATCCACTTCAGCCTTTCCATCTGACTGTGTGTGTGAGTGACAGGCTGTCAGCTGAGCCGACCTGAAGCATCCACTGATGCTTGGTGACAAACCAGAAGGACCGAAAAAAGGAAAAAGACAGGATGTAGCAATCCTCTACAAATTCTGGACCATCACCCTCTGCTCTTCCTCTCACCTGCCTTTTCGTTTTCTTCACCTGCCGTTCTCCTGAAATCTATTTCACTTGTGATTAGTTCCTCACCCTCAAAAAGCACTTATGTGCAAATCTGTCTCTCTGATGTTTACACATTCATTTGTTTCAGCATGATTGCAAATATGTAGCTTTCTTCTTTCATCATTACACATGCTCCACACACACAGTAAAGGCACTGTTTTAATGAATACTCCCTACATGACAAAAACCAAGCTCTGTCTCCTATTGGACAACACATTCCATTTCCTTTATGTTGTGAGGTGGTGTATTTATGTTGTTCTTAAATTATAGACCAAAAACAGGCAGACATGTTTAAATGATTTTCAGGGCAGCCTCCAACAAGTTTTATAGTTTTTTCGCAACTGAATATCTACCATCCAGTTTTGCGTCCACTCCATCAGAAGAAAAGAAAACACGGGATTATTTATAATTTAACGGCAAGAAATGCATCAATAAACCTCAATAAATACTGGATAAAGCATCTGCAGAAAGGTGACATGTCATAATGAATCCAAGACATTAATGTCTGTTCTCTGAGGTAAACAAAAGTTATTTGAAATGCATGTATACGAATAAATAGCAAAATCCTCTATAACCTTGAGCTGTTGATCTGAATTTTCTTTCTGAGGGTTTACTTAGCGTATATCCCTGTGGATAAGGATGTAGTTAAGAACAAATGCACAGAGGATATCTTCCTTTTGGCACCCACTTTTTCCATATTGGAAAACTGCCGAGGCAATGCTGTTAAAGCAACAATGTAAGCAGCAGTTAAGTGGTGTCACTATGCTTTCCTCTTAATGAGACCGTGTTTCTATAGCTTTCTGTGCAGCAAAATAAGGAATAAGGAACCAGTGAATAGTTTTTAACTTGCTCTGACATCTTACCACCTGGATGATGAAAACCACTGTACTGAGACAGGAAACTTAGAGTAGAAAAGTTACATAAAATAAGAAAAATTATGATTTTCTGTATTGGGTATCAGAGGAGGGAAGGTGAGTCTATTGGTATTTCGTCTGGTCCAGAAGGTTACCCAACGTCTTGGAAAGACGTGGCATTTTGTTAACAGTGCTTGAGATGAAAAAGTTGATATTTGGGCAGAAAGTTATGAATGAGTCAGCAATTGTCTTCTCCTGCACATTTATAGTCCATCTTTTACAGACCTTTTTAACACAAACACATTCCTACTCAGTCAGCCTCACACATCATCAGAAAAGCCCTTTACTTCAAAGAGGACAAAAGAAAAAGGAAATCAGCTAAATGCTGGATAATTTGTGGAGTTAGTGAGCGTGAATTTGCAGACTGACAGTACTTTCTGAGCAGTATATGCGTTTCTGTGTGTACAGTGTGTGTGCGTGCGTGCACACCTCGTGACACCAGATGCAGTCTAAGAGTGTGAAATGCAACTCATTCATCACAGTTGTCATCTATTCTGTACAGCCCAGGAGCATCTAAAGGCAGGGCCCTGATAGCACAGATAACCTCCACTTCCATCACACACACACACACACACACACACACACACACACACACACACACACACACACACACACACACACACACACACACACACACACACACACACACACACACACACACACACACACACACACACACACACACACAAGGTATCCACTGTAAGAAAAGGATGTTGTTTAACTTCATGTATACAAGGACGTTTTTAGTTTTATTATTATTAATGTTTTTGCTTTCTGGAGGCCGTGGTTTAGCTCCAGATTGGAACACAATAAGGAGAAGAATCTTCCAATCTGTACCAGAGCTAAACATCTGGGCTGTCAGAGAGTTAAGTGCGCTGAGATTCCAGAGAACAAAGACAATTATGTACTCAGTAGAGTCATTGTAATAGAGTCATGTCAAAATCAAGCACATTAAATGATTACCATCTATTTCAAGTACCATGAGAAAAGGGGCATTTGATTGGCTTTAGACACACTATCGCTGTTGATGTCCAGATGAAACATTCAGTTAATGTTCTCCATTCAAACCCTTAATGCAATATTGAAAGATCTATACAAAAAACACAAATTAATTAGCCAAAAAATATAGACAAAAAGCAAATCACACAGCGAACACACAGAGGTAGAAGGCAAGAAAGGAAATGAGGGAGGCCGTTGCCTGTTAGCAATTATTAGAAAGAACCCTACGTATGGTTTATTAACAGATACCTGGAGAGTAAGGGCCATCTTTAGACTGTGGATGCTGCATCTGGTGACAGATACACAGCTGGTGGTAATGGCATCTTTAGAAAAACAATGTAGCACACGAAATGTAGCACAAAGTAAAACTTGGTCAAAGTAAAAGTAGCTGATGGACAGATATAGATAGATACTATATTTACAACAGATACAAAGACAGAGATAATCAATAAATCATTTAAAACCTAACTTACAGTGTATGTAACAAGTATTAAAAAGGCCTTAAACTCAGGTCAGCTTCTTTGTGAGTTAGAAACATCAGCGCTAGAGACTTGTAGAGCGAGTTAAAAAGGTTAAATACCTGATGATAATAATAATGTGTAGGGTATCTGATACTGTAGGAGCGACAGTATATGTGTGACTTTTTATCCAAACAATTAAAGGTAGGGCAGGTAATTCACTTCAGAAACACTTTTTGTTATATTGTGAATCTGTCACTGGTCAGAAAACACAATTTCCTGTGCAACAAACCCAAAAGCTGAGAGAGGTTCAGCTGCTCTATGTTTTTAGTGAAAGTTGCCCATCATAACTGTACCAATTATGCTTCCAGGCTTTGAATGCATTGACGTCAACCTAACCCTAACCGAAACTGCCCCTTATGTTTGTCCCACAAAAATGTGGAGGTGTATTGATAAAACATTGTGTAATAACTACGTTGGATGAACATATTTAGCTGGAGTAGTTCATTTTAGTAAGACTTATTAAATCATTTTGATAGTAAATATAAAAGTACATCATGTAATTCTCTTTTACTAACAGTTGGTTACATTGCCACCAAAAGCAACACAAGGCCATATTTTTCTTCTCAGCTCCACATGCTAAGTAATCAAGCTGTGTTTTATCTTCTGCACATACTCTTCTTTTTATTAAAACATTGCTAAAATCATAGCTCAACATAGGAAAGGTTGTTTCTCCTTTTAATGTCCCTCAAATGTACAAACAACATTGATTTTAAACTCACTTACAGAGATAAACATTTTTGCATAAACCTGATCTAAAGATATAATCTGGGACGGATTGAAGGCTTTCGATGTGTTAGGAGTGATAACTCATCCATAAAAATGGGAGAACAAGTTGTTAGTCTGCTCACATGGGTGACAGCTGTGAACCCACTGTGTAGTGGAGACAAAAGCATATTCAACACACTCTTCCTGTCACTGTCTTTAACCTGCTGCATCTCTGATTGTTCTGCTGTGAAGGTCCCTGATTCTCTATTCTGTGCAAATTGTTACACCTTCACTGTCCTTGTCTGAAGGACGAAGAGCTACATCCCATACACACACATGCACAGAGACACAAACCAACACATGCACACGCACCGTCTCTGAGCCCTGCTGAATGAGAATTAACCTATGCTGTTTTACCGCTGATAAGAGCTTCAGACACACACACACACACACACACACACACACACACACACACACACACACACACACACACACAAACGCTTATTCAGTGAGCCTCATTGACTTTTTATTTTCTTCCACGCCCCCACTAGTCCCTCATTTCCTTTCCTCCTTCTCTCTCTGCCTCCTCATTTATGTTAATTTGTAGTAAACTCTGAGGGCTCCTTACACATTAACTACAAAACACTGATTTAATTGATGGGAATAATGCTGGACTCTCTGGAGTAACATTATCCCAAGAGCAACACAGCGTGGAGGAGCGGGAGCTTTTTTCAAAATAACAATAAAGACAGAATCTAGTCTCTTTCTTTCCCTTTATGCTGTCACACAGTTAGCTGTCGTCCCACAGACCCAACAGGGGGCTGCTGGCCCATGCAGG